AATAATTGTGGATCTGAATGAAGTTATTTATTATTTATTTATTACTTTTATTATTATTAAATTTATTTGTGTTTATGTGTTCATTCATAGTTTGTTAATCTTTTTATCTATTTAGATGTTTTGTTTATTTTTTTTATTTTTGGGTTGCTTATATTATTTGTTTAGTTTAAAGTATTGGCTTTTGTATAAAGTAAGTTACATTATCTGTATTGTATATAGTGCATATATTTGCATTTTTCAATGTGATATTTTAATTGTTTTTTGGTCTAAAGTTTTTTAAGTAATGTAGTAAAAAATGTGTTTTTGTGTCTGCATTTTGAGATAAGTTCTGATTGTTTATTTAGTAAATTGTGTTGGTCTAGCTATTTTCTCCACCAGACAAGGTTTACAGTTTTTTTGATTTATTTGTTGTAAATTGATGCTATTTTTCCTTATTTTCCATATTTTGGTATAATTTGATTTTTTTTTAAATTTCCCATATATATTTAGGAAGCATTGTGCTGTTCACATATTTACTGTTTTTTAAAGGATGTTTTATTTTGTTAATTTCTCTGTTTCCACAGTCCTTCAGTTACTCCTATGTAGCTTTTTTCTTCATTATCTGTAAGGTTTTACAGTGGCTTTGTACATTAAATTGCTATAGTTGAGCCAAAACACAACATGTGTGTCATTTTAAGGTTGTGTTGATGTAAAAACAGACTGTCACCATTTGGTGTTGACCTCTGTGTCCACTTTTCATTTACATACACTTTACCTTTGATATTTTAATTTACCAATAAATATTACATACATGAAAACTATATATATATATATATATGTGTTTGTGTGTGTGTGTGATTCCATCAATAAAAACATTTAATCTGAAGAAATAATTTTGAAGGATAAAATATATCATATAGGATTTATTTACATTTTGTGATTCAATTATCCAACATATCAATAGGAGTATTAATCATATTATCATGAGAACAGATAACATTGGAAAAGACAAGTGAGTCTGCTTTTATGAATGAACCTGCTTGGTTGTTCCTTAGTGTAGAGAAAAATTATTAATCACTTCTCAGTGTTAAAGCTGTAAAGTTCTTCAAACGTCCTTACAATGACCTCTGATATTAAAGATGACTTAATTACTAAAATTGGTTATTGCCTTGTTTTTTTGTGTGTGTTTGGTGGGGGATACAGGTTTTTAATTGATATTAAAATCTGCACTAAGTTTGTTTTTACATTCATTTTCTGATAAAATAATACTTGAAGCCTCTTTCACAATAGAATTTCCATGATTGTTCTGTATCTATTTTTAATATTATTATGTTTTTTGACATCATTCAAAAGAGTAGTATATTCTGCATTCCATTCATGCATGTTCTGCTATGCCTGATAGTGAGTTTCACCTTGAAGAAAGGTGGAAATACATTTGATTGAAATGTGTAAGAAAAAAAATAAAGTAGACAGCAGTCTGAAAAATATATGGAATAGTAGAAAATAACACATTTCAGATGATACTCAGTCAGCCAAAAACAAATCAACCAAAAAGTAGTTAAAAACAACAAAGATGAAGAAACTAGTTTGAAAAAAAAATAATACATAGAAAAAATACTGGTTTAAAGAAGACATTCATTCATGACATTAACAGGTAATGCCTGTTATTTTTTAGGGTTATTCCTACACCAAGTTTTAAGCAGTGACCAAAATAGATTGGTCAGAAAGGGTCCTATCTTAAATAAGATATCCTCAAAATATTCAATCCGACGTGTATAAAGGCAGCCATTTTTTTTTTCCCCAAATTATCTTCACTGCCAACCTGATATCGAAGACTTAAAGAATTACTTTAACAAATGCTACTTTCTCTGAATCTTCACTGCCAACCTCTGATATTGAAAACAGATTACGGACTTCACTGGATTCCATATTCAGAGACTACGGCAAACATGGTCAACAGACAATTTCTGAATAATGACATATTGTCTAGGAAAATTAAGAAAATAAGAAATTATTGTTTATATAAATATATATCCAATTATGAATTTTAATATATTAATATTTAAAAAATCTAATATCGAATTTGAATTATATTTATTAATATTATTAAATCAAGGCTTAAAAATTCTTTGTCCATTTTTTCAAAAAATTTAATTGATTCGAAGATATTTTCCCTCCCAAAATTAGAATCATGATTTAAAAGAATAATGAAATTAGATGTTAAATCGAATGGGAATCAACAATATATTCGTTTTCTTTCATGTTTTACACCCAAAAGTACGAATTTATCGGCATTTCTTTAAAGATGAAAATCTTCTTTATGTAAATTTGCAATTAAAGAGAATTTAATGGAATAACGCACTTATATAATATTTATTTGATGGCAGAAAAATAAAACAATTGTAATTTGTATGCGGTTGTAATTTAATTTGAAAAATGAACAAACTTCAAACAATTTTCTGAGATTTCATTTATCAAGTTTATTTATACTGTATAAAATGTTTTCAAATTGAGCTAAAAGATTAAATTAAAACTTTTGTTTTTATTAAATAAAATTTTTTTTTAATGTCTAAGTATTAATGAGGTTATATTGGACTCTGGAAACTTACTATAAATAGTAAAACAAATAAATGAATAAAACGGGGGAACAGTTATAAACTATTCAACGAAAAGGTGTATAGAAAGGCCGTTTATGCTTTAATTTGAAAAATATTATTTGGCCAACGTCTTTTCGGAAGGGAAAAAATTTAACAAGTCAAATTTCTCTGAATTTTGTTTACATATTTGAATTGCGGAGGTTGTTTAATATTAAAAGTGTAAACTGTTCATTCGTCAAATCTCTGAATGAGCAAAAAGGAACCCGGACGATTTTTTGCCAATGACAACCAATTATAATTATCTGATTAATGATTTACCCTGAACCATTTTTATTTTCTAATAAATTTATTTTAATTTATATTCACAGGAAAAAATAATTATATACTATTTCCTAAAATTAAACAGTTTATTACGAAGGGATATCTTCTTATAGTAATATCTAAACATAAATTGTTTTTCTTCTATATACTTTTTAATAAAAATTTAAAAAATTAAAATTGTTCAATTTCTGGAGAAATCTTTGAAAATTGTTTATCTAATAAACGGGATCAAATATTTAAAATATGGCAAACAAAAGTTAAACACAAAAAAAAAGAAAAAGAAAGTTTATTGAATCTGTTTTTAAAGAATTTAACGAATCCATTTTAAATACATTAATAAAATTTTTATCTAAACAAACGGTCTTTTTAAAAATGGGATCAAATCAACATGTAAATAAACTATACATAGATAATAACATTTTCGTAAAATACATTATTTCATTTGAATGATCGTAGACAAACTTAGAAAAATATTAAAACAAAGGATAAATTTTAGCCATTTTTTTAATTACATTCAACATTTTCGTGTAAGCACGTTCGTTTTTTGAGCCAAAACGTGTTAGCATTAAGCTTTCTATTCCTATTTGGCGATAATTGACTTATTTTTTTGCAATTTCTTTCGGGAATGGGAAATTGTTGTTTGTTTAAAACAAATAATAGGATGGCATCAGTGTGGCAAGTCAACATAGAATTTTATATCCTGAAAAATATCACTATTGACCAACGGTTACAAAATATCTTCAAAAAATTTAAAATAAAGGCATTTTGACGTGTGGAACAACGTGGGCTTTAAACAATTATTTCTGAATTTCTTATTCTTCGCTAAAGAGGAATTTCATCAGTGTTCGTCGTCAGATGATAACCTTCTTTCTTTCGTCCATTGATTATATATTAAATTTTGTTAACCTGGGATGTCATATTTAACGTTATATATTGGAGAAAAGTCTTTTTGTTTTCTAACAAATAAATCCTTGACATATGAATATCAGTTTACAGACCTGAGATTGAGTAATAATATTTTTAGAAATACCTTACGGCAACAGTCATGTTCAAAATGCCGGGAATGGCTATTGATCACAAGTTATTTCAGTATCTAGATCTTGATTTATGATTTTAACCCGTGGATGTTTACTAAAGAACAGTTGGATCCTTTATATCAACTATATGAAGTGGAAACATAGGTTCCCGTTACGATCACCAAAGTTAAGAAACATCGAGTTGTTATTTACAGTAAAAACTGACCGCTTAGATAGTATTGGTGATTTGAAAGTATTATAAATTGTTAAAAAGGTTTCGACTATATTAAAAACTGGAAACATAGGTTTTTACTCATATTACCATCAAGTTAAGAAACGTCGAACCTGGTCAATCCTGAATGGGTAACTACTTGGGAAAAAGTTTGTTTTTTGAATTCTGGCCGGTATTTTTTTACAGGCACATCTAATTAACACCTTTTCCCTGTTATAATCTATTGTTAGCAACATGAACCTGGTCAGTACCTCAGAAAAAGGGGGCTTGGGAATATCAGGCGCTCAATTAGATAATGGCTCGATTTTTTTTTTATGAAGGAGTTCATTATATTATTTTTACGAACAAATAGCCTTGGGAATGTTATGAATCCAGCTGTTTTTTCTCCAGCTATGGGTTAAATAGTTAGACTTGTTTAAATCACTAAAACATTAAATTCGATTTTCTGTATTTTCTGGCTGTAAATGGATTGTCTGATGTAAACAAAAACGTTTTTATTTTTTCTTATCATCAATTCTTTTATTACTATCATCATTATTATCATTATTATTATTATTTTGTGGGTTAATAACAATGGTTACAGAAATACGAAATGAAAAAATCGCTCAATTGAATTTCTAGTCGAGGTCGTTATATTCAAATTTTTGCTAAAGTTTAGTTATTTCTATCCCAGATCAAAAAAAAAAATATCTTCTATCTAAAAATGTGTTTGGTAGCCATAAATATTAAACAAAAACACTGAAATAATAAACCTTATATATAGATATGGGTAAATTTTACTTCCACCAAACATTATTTTTATAACCATAAATCCACAATATGAATCATAAATATAAAATTTATATAAAGTAAATA